GAGTGAAGTAAGTCAGACAGAGAAAAACAATTACCATATGCTAATGCACATATATGGAATTAAAAAAAACGGTACTGATGAACCTAGTGGCAGGGCAGGAATAAAGATGCAGATGTAGAGGACGGACTTGATGCAGATGTAGAGAATGGAGGAGAGAGAGGGAAGCTGGGACAAAGGGAGACAGTAGCACTGACATATACACACTATCAAATGTAAAATGGATGGCTAGTGGGAAGCTACTACATAGCACAGGGAGATCATCTTGATGCTTTGTGACCACCTAGAGGGATGGGATAGGGAGGGTGGGAGGGAGGCTCAAGAGGGAGGGGATATGGGGATATATGTATACATATAGCTGATTCACTTTGTTGTACAGCAGAAACTAATACAACATTGTAAAGCAATTATATTCCAATGAAGATTAAAAAAAAATGTAAAAAAGTCAAGCTTATCTTGATCTCTGGACCAACCTACAAACCTCTGTATCCTAATGCAACAGAAGATAATGAGACAGAACTGTAAACAGACAACAAGGAATACGTATCACAAACTAGTAGGTAGACCCAAGGCAGGTAATTTATACTGTGGCCTAAATTCTCCTGAGCTATAATCAGATCATAAACCTTTATTCCCACTCTCACAAAGCTAAACTTCTGATAATTAGAAAATAGGCTGAATTCCATCTTTATGCAAAGAAACTTAAGCAAGGTCACCTTATACCCTAAGGCCCTCTGGGCAAACATTCCTAGGAAGAATATATTAATCTCACACATATTTATCTACTTAAACTTAATTTGATTCTATGTTCAGTGTAACTCATCACAATTCATGTGAAGACAAAGTATGATAACCAAGGAATATGGAAAATGGAAGAAACCTTATCAAAGAAACATTTTAAGTCATAACAATCGCACTTAACAGTAACAAAATGGGGTAGATTATTTTCTTCAGCTGTTTTGCATTCTTGCATCAGACAACAGTTCCAAGGAGTAGAAAACTTGGACCCTGTTCTTTTGCTAGAAGAATGTACAGTTGTGACCTGAACCATCTACAATCATTGAAAACAAGTCTAATGTTTTTGGAAAGCCTGTGGTGAGCTTAAGCCAGAAAGCAATGTTTAAGATATTCTAGTCCTACAGTGGTTATTTAAATGTGCATTTGCATAACTGCCTAACAGGAGACTTTTACTAATAAACCAAGAGTATGCTCCCTAAGATTGTATATGTTCTAATAAGCCTCTATTTTGGTAAAGTCCTAGAAAACATTTTCCACAGAGCATCCATATGGGGGAGGTTATACCAATCTTCAGTTCCTCTGAAGCACTGGTCCACTATTAAACTTCTTATAAAGAAATGCTCAGAAATAAATAGATCAGAATTAGGGCTCTCTTTCACTCTTATGGCCTTTCATTCATTTCGTGATTTTTACATTGTTAAGAGAAAAGTGCTGTTGAGATGCAAATCTTCTCAATAAATACAGGATCAGCCATTACGAAAAAAAAAATCTCAAGTTTTGGTGATTCCAGTATCACTTTTAGATTCACTGGTGCAGAAGGGCTTTTGCCTCTGTGTTAACAATGAGAGAGAACAGGGTATTATATAAACCAGGAAAGAAGGAAAACCACCACCACAACAGAAAAACTTCAGCAGGTACTCTATAGCACTGGAGTCACATTCACAATACTCAAATCAAGATATGTATAGTGAAGAAGTTGTAGGTTTACTGCTGACTTACCTTTGTTAGTTGGATTTCACAAACCAACCATCCCCTCACAGAAAACAAAAAAGGGAGTTTATGGAGAAGCTAAGGTTTTTGTTTTTAAGGTGATAGAATTTTGAGGTTTAAAAGATGAAGCTGTTCAAGTTCTACTGCAGAACAGACTAACTTTAATGAAATAGTACTTATATATGCTACACGGAATTTAACAAATCGAAACATATTTACTAAGCTATCTGTGATACTATACACTTTAAAATATTTGCTCATCTATTCTAAACTTGTTTTCATTTCTCTCTCTTTGATATAATGAAGCAGAGTAAATGATAAAGTCCATTGTTGGAATCCCTTGTAGCTTATATATTTACTCTCCCATTTAGTCAGGCTATAGGCTTGAAAGAAACCTTAATATTTTTTCCTACGTAGAGATGGCTTGAGAATCAGAAAACTTCAGATTTCTAAAGGTGACAGCAGAAGAGCTGAGCAGAGGTTTGGATGAAGTTCAACAACTTCCTAGCATACTCCTGAGCCAGATCTTCATTCACAGCCTAACTTCCCCGCAGTGTTTTAAATTTAAGTGCTCAACCTATGAATTCCTATCTGTAGTCCCAGAATCTTAGAAGAAATATCAGAAGTCGTTTCGTCCAACTCTCGATCGGAGTCGTGGATTTTTCCTACAACATGCACGATGTGTGGTTCTCCAGCCTTTGCCTGATCACCCCAAGGCAGCCTACCTCAAAACTGGACAGTTCTACTGTAAAATTTGTTCTTATATTGTACTAGTGCCATATTTCTCAGACAAGTACAAATGATTTCCATATTATCCAAAAATTCTTTAGAGGGAAATTATCCTGACTTTTAATTTTGGCCTAAATACAGGATACATGCACCCCAGTGTGTATACAAGACAATCAATGAGTCATGGAAAGAAAACATTATAACTTTCATTTATATTTTTTATTCATCCCTTTCATATCTATTTTTGTGTTATATGAGATACATAATATACAGGAACAATTATATAAAATATTAAAATACATAAAATATAAAAACATTAGAGATACACTAAAAGGTGTGGGTGAGCAAAATAATTTGGAGGCCACTACTCTAGACAGTTAATGAACTTTCCGTTATTTTTTTTTAAAATTAGGTCATAGGAGGCCTACCTATATGATTATGAATTTTTAATAGATATTAAATACTCATAAACAGTGTACCACCAACCATGTATAAATAAATATTCAGCATCAGACCTTAAGGGCACCCAAATAATCTTTCAAAATATCAAAATAATAAAGTGACTTTCTTGGAAAAAGAGTGCAGAACTAGTGGCAAAGAAATGGACTATCCAACTCTCCATCAAGCTTACACCATGCGTGTGGCAATTGTGTACACGTACACATATACTCATACATACGTACAAACATACACACACGCCCAGAGGGGGGATAAAGACCTGTGAGGATATCTTTCATTATCCCTCCAACCTAAATCTAAAAATTCAAACTAAGTTGACTGAATTTATCTACCTTTAAAGGCCTAAGCTGGATTCTCCAAAATCTTAATATTGGAAGTGACCCCCAGAACATACCAAGTCCATTTCAATTAACATTGAAAATACTGTTATCCTTGAAATTAGTTTTCAAGCACATTACTGTTTAGAGCACACTATCAAAATGCTTTATTATTTGTTCATGTTGTCATGAGTAGTATTCTAAAAAGAAGGCAAGGGAATAATGAATGAGTCTTTGGAAAATCACTATATCTACCACCTTTAGAAAGACGGGCACATTTAAATTAAATTAGGTTTTCAGGGCTTCCCTGGTAGCGCAGTGGTTGAGAGTCCGCCAGCCGATGCAGGGGACATGGGTTCGTGCCCCGGTCCGGGAAGATCCCACATGCCGCGGAGTGGCTGGGCCCGTGAGCCGTGGCCGCTGAGCCTGCGCGTCCGGAGCCTGTGCTCCGCAACGGGAGAGGCCACAACAGTGAGGGAACCGCGTACCGCAAAAAAAAAAAAAAAAAAAAAAATTAGGTTTTCACAGCACATTGTCTACTTTCTGTTATTTAAAACCAAAACAACCTTATTGACCAAAGTAAAAATCCTGAAGTTATTTACCAACCACAGGGTCTCTGCAAAAGTTCAGAATTTGTGCCAACATTTGTTAAAAATTAGCTCCAAAACCAGATTGGTAATTAAAAATAAGACTTTGGGATTATTATTAGGGTTAACCAAGAAAATTATGTTTAAAATACACTGCAGCCAGTAAGAATCACTAGTACAATGCAGAAAAATTAGCAATTTCATTAAATACTCTCAGCAGTACCAGAAGGTACCAACAGAGGGCCTCTAGAAATAGTGGTAGTAAAGCTTTCTAAAAACATCTTTCCCAAGTAAGCTAGGGAATGAATTAATTCCCTGGTACTGATTTTTGCTAAAAAGAAAGTTTAAGTTCAAATTAAATTGTCAACAACTGATTAAGGCTCTAGCTCAGAAATTAAATCTGGGAATTTCTCTTAAACTAAAAAAATTCACCCCCAAACCAGGACAGCAATATTCAAATGTCAAATACTGCTTTCCAGATTACAACTTTGCACTGTAGGATCAAACTTTTCTAACAGTTTAAACAGAAGTGCCAGCTCTTCAGAATATTATTTTTTTAAAAACTATGTGACATCTAAGAAGATCATAAAATCACAAATATGGTGGAAAAGCAACATTTGCTATCTTACTATCCTGAAAATAAGTAAATTGCTAACAAGAATTTCTTCCTCTTAGGGCCCTACAGACCCAGACCAATCCATATTATCACTTCTGATTTTCTGAGAGATTCTTTATTACAATTTCAGAGGCTGAAATTTCTATTATTTTGAGCTGGGAATTTTTTTTTTAAGACAAAACAAAAAGTTCACTAGAAAAGTCTTCTAACATTCTCAAAATTACTGAGCATCTATATTTTTAAAGCACTATCTACAAAATTTTCAACTGCTCTGAATTAAATTCTATGATTTTCACCAGGTGAAAATCAAAGATGATACGAAAAATAAGTCAAACTGCAAAAAGGAAAAACAGCTTCAAAATAGAGCTGTGTATATTAAAAGAAGCATATAAGACCTTAGAATTAGAAAAGCAATAGCTAAGCTCTAGTCACCACTGTAACCATATATGGACGTTGTATTTTGTTCTGGAGACCATCATTTAAGAATTACCGAAGAACTAGAACAACCAAGAGTTGATGGACCAGTGTGACTAAGTATTCAAAATTACAATGTGAAAGAACACCCTAGTGCTTGCTTCAGCAGCACATATACTAAAATTGGAACACAGAGTGCAGTAACACGGCCCCTGAACAAGGATGACATTCAAATTCGTGAAGCGCTCCATATTTTTCATGGGCCTCTAAGGTCCTTAGTGAATTGTTTAAACCACAAATTTAAATCTGTGACTGCCAAGAATCTTCCTGATTTGGAGCTTCCTGGTAGAGCCCAGGGAGATTCCAAATTCATTTGGCAGCCCAGAATCTCATAGCTAGAAGGCCATTCTTTAGGTCAGTTTTCTCTTTGAGCTATCTGCTCCAGGCCTTACTGATGGCTACAAGATTTTTCTTGGCAAGACCCACAGCAGCAAAGGGTAGTGGTCAAAAGCATGACTTTTGGAGCTAGAAAGACTTGGTTCTGATATCCAATAAACTTCTTACTAGCTGTGTGAACTTGACAATCACTTCAACCTCAATTTTTTGTTTCCTCACTTATGATATAGAGATAACTTCACAGTACAGTGTTTGCGAGGATTCACTACTGCATTCTACACTTAGAATGCTTGGATAAATAAATATTTGTTGAATTAAAAACTAAAAAAGAATATCCCAAGGACTAGGGATTATTAGCCTCTAGAAGGGACTATTCAGGGACAACACACTGCGAAAGCAATTCATACCTGCAGAGGCAGTACACATTCTGATTGGCCCTAACTGGAGAAATACAAGGAACCAGATTTTGGTTTAACATGTTAGATTTGCCTAACAGAGGCATCCACAAGTAGAATGGGCTTCTTTGGGAGCCCAGACAACCACCTGGGGAGAATGTTACCAAGCTAAATGACTGCAGAAGTACCCCCCAATTTAAGATGTTGTGTTAATTCAAGGCTTAAAAAGAGAAGTAGAACTTTCTTAGGACAATGCTCCAGCACTCTTGCCTTACCCCTCCAGATGGCTATAGAAACGTGGCAGGGCAGGGGATGGCAAGAAAAAAACACAATTAAAAATAATCATTGCTACTAACTGCCATGTTACCTGCCACCAGTCAGATTACCTGGAGGCAAAGATAAATCAGTCAATTACTTCTCATTTCCTTTTTTTTTTTTTTTTGCATTATGTGGGCCTCTCTCTGTTATGGCCGCTCCTGTTGCAGAGCACAGGCTGTGGACGCGCAGGCTCAGCGGCCATGGCTCACGGGCCTAGCCGCTCCACGGCATGTGGGATCTTCCCGGACCAGGGCACGATCCCGTGTCCTCTGCATCGGCAGGCGGACTCTCAACCACTGCACCACCAGGGAAGCCCCTCATTTCCTACTTTTAAAACAGTGGAGGTTATTAAGACTGTGGTTACTTTTGGACTTCGAGCAATTTCACTGTGGCCTTTTGACATAGATATGAAAATGAGAAACACTTCTTTCTTTTAGTTAAATTCCTGCTTTATTCATTTCTAATATAAGAGTTGATTATCAGACTTCAAATCTTGTTTTAATTTAATCATTAAGACCAACTGTTTAATTTTTTTCCTTAGGTGTTTCAGGAAAATTAGTCTACTTAGATGTATCTTCCAACTGGTTGGGAGGTTACCAATTTTTTGGCAGTCTAGAGCCTTCTAAGATTTTCTACACTCTATGCCCTTATATTATACTCTTCACACTAAGTACATGATAACAAACTTACAATATTAAGGCACCTGTGCTTAGTAGAGTCGAGCAAGCGACTTAGACTCAGCCATGTACTAGCTCACTAGTCTTAGGCAAACTTAAAATTTTCCCTAAGCCCTACTTACCTCATTTGTAAAAAAGGAGGTCAGACCTACCTCAAAAAGCTGACATGCAACTTAAATTACACAATGTGGATGTGTAATTTAAATTACACCAGATACTCAAAAAGCTGAGTATGATCCCATACAACGATATTAAAACAAAGTCACTTCCATAAAACATTCTTGCAAAGACTACTACCAACTTACACGGAAAAGATTCTCAATTATCAAATGAGTCATTAAAAGTCAGTATTCTTGGGTTTCCCTGGTGGCGCAGTGGTTAAGAATCCTCCTGCCAATGCAGGGGACACGGGTTCGAGCCCTGGTCCGGGAAGATACCACATGCCGCAGAGCAACTAAGTCCATGAGCCACAACTACTGAGCCTGTGTGCCGCAACTACTGAAGCCCGTACGCCTAAAGCCTGTGCTCCGCAACAAGAGAAGCCACCACAATGAGAAGCCCGTGCACTACAACACAGAGTAGCCCCCGCTTGCCACAACTAGAGAAAGCTCGGGTGCAGCAACGAAGACCCAATGCAGCAAAAAAAAAAAAAACCCTCAGTATTCTCAGGGCAGGTTTCTTGGTATCTTAAGGCCATAAGAAAGATGATAAAGGATAGTTCTCACCTTCATCCCTTAACTATAATTCTGCAAATTATGTTATGGTTAATATTAGACTTTAAGTATGAACTCTCTTTTCCACCCCAGTCTCAACCTCACAATGCAGAAATAGCTCCATGGAAGCTATTTAACTGCCTACCTAACTAAATAGAAGAGGCCTTATTTTATATACTATATATAATTAATACACTTTTCCTTATTATTTTATTTAGATATCTGAGAGTCCAGAATGTCATTCCTCATATTTTAATTATAAACAGTATTAAAATAACTCTAGGGAATCATTACAGTATTCTATTTCCATTGTTACTGTAAAAGATGACAAGAGTTATTTAAAAGTATTAACATAAGAAACCAAACAAGGGTAGTGTTGAAATCAGCCTTTGTCACTGCTCTTAGATTTCTGTCCTCATTCAAAAAGCTTATCTAAGTTACCAATGTTTGGAAAAAGGAAAAACTTTCTTGTCCCCTTTTCTTGTCCCCTACATGGCAGAACTGGTGTTCTTCGATTCTTTGACATAGTCAACAGGATAAAGAGGCGAGAATGCTGAACACAGAATCAGAAGGAACCCAGGGATCTGGTCCTGATATCACTCATAACTTAGCTGCATTACCTCAGGCAGGTTTTAACATTTTTGGACCTGTAAAATGAGGAGCCTGATTAGGATTAGCCCAAAGGCTGAACAGTCTCTGAGTCTTTGCTAATCACCTGGCAATAGCCAGTGATCTTTTGACTGAAAAGCAAGGGACTCATTTTGTAACCGAAGGTTTCTAAATTCTTAGCTTCCTTGTTATTACAATATCGAAATCTGTGTCAGGGCTCCTCACTCTAGTAAGATGTTACCGTGATAAAATAAAATGTAATTGTCAGTTCTTAAATATTTGACTTGATCTTGGGCTGAAGATATGAATATTTTTATAATACATAAACCAATAAATCCTTGCTAATCCTTTTTACAAAGGGATTTGTCATAATATTAATTTTTGAAATCAAACATATTTTATATATTTTAAATGATTCTATTTAGGAAAAAAAGATGTTTTCAAAGTCTAACTATACATAAAATGAGAGACACAAATTAATGCATAATAAATATACGCTGACCCTGAAGTATGAAAGCTCAAAAGTGAAATCCGGTCTGCTCCCACTGACTGACAAGATCACAGGACATAATGAGGTAACATCAAAATAAGTCAGTTTTTAACAAACACTTACTAAAGCCCAATATTATGCTAACTGGCCAAAGTTGCCTATCCTTCTTTAGATAAAATGCTGTACTATGATCGCTGAAGAAAAACCAATCTGTTCTAGTGATTATCTTCTATAATACACGATCCTGGTCTGTCCTTCTGCCTATTTATTTACCTATAAGTCTTTGGAAGCTAACAGTCACAAGACAAATCCTTGTGTCAGTGTTCTGGATAAACAGAAGAGTAGTGGACTTTGAGTGCTAAAATTCTCCCCCACTCCTAAGATTCAAGGCTATTGGTAAAGTACTCAAATCCCTTATGAATAAAAGGGGAAAGCAGAAGTTAAGTCACATACTACAATACATTCCTTTACAGGTCTAATTACTCTCAAGACTCTATTTATTTTGCAATATAAAGGAAAAGGAGGTTAAATTTAACTTAAAGAGTGAACTTGACTTTGCATTATGTTGAGCGTTCTCACAAAAGCTGCTGCTTGGAACAGAAGGAATACAACTCAGATTTAAAAAACAAAACCAAACAAAACTTGAGGAGGCATCCCTATGATGATAACTGTGCATGATAAACTTAGCAAGGTCAAGAACATCCTATCTATACCTTCAATTCCACTCTTAGGACAACCATATTAAAAGTCAACATAGGATCATTAAGGATAATAAACATATCTTTTGGGTCACTACATAAATATACTATATTAAAAGAAACATACACATTCTGGACATCTAAGCTAGGGTCAATAAACCTAAAAGTTACTTCCTTTGGCACGCAAGTTTTGTTCTATAAAGTACCTTTACTGGAGAACAACTAAAAAGCCAAAATACATCTTCATCTCTAACTTATTCCTACTTTTGCATTCCCATATGATTCCCTTGATAGGGAATAAAATATTCCCTTAACAGCATCAGCTACCTAACTGACACTAAATACACAAAAAAGAGAGATCTATATTGGTTTTCATTTAAAAACTACAATTTTCAACTGTTTTTTAGGAAAACAGACATTACTTTACTAGTTCTCCCAAGCATATCTTTGGGTTTTAAATTTTGTCTGTCTTTAACTATTTTAAATTCTAACACTGTCATTAAATTCTACCTACTCTACTATTGTCTATTCCATTTCCATAGTTATCAATTCAGTTCAGTATTTTAAAAGAGCACCTACCACTATATGATAGTCACTACTCAATCCAGCCCATATCCTAACGATTCCCTGTACTAGTTACTTCTCAAGGTATAATCTCGTCATTATTAATGGCCTGTCAGTAGGAGTCATCCCCTCACTTCCACCTACTTCTCCTGGTCTAGGGGCACCACCTTGTGGTCAGCAACAGGAATTACCCTTCCCATCATCTCATTTCTTCCCCCATGGGAGAACATTACACCTGGGCCTTCTGGTTTTGCTTGCAGCTCAATTAATTCAATCTTACAAATCTCCCTTTCATTTGAACAGAGCAGAATGTCATCCTGGTGCAATTCACCACAGAGGATAGAGTTCCTTATTTATAAACCTGGATAATTCACAAACTCTAAGTCTACAAATTATT